CCCCATCACCCAGAGCGGGAGCGAGACCCGCCGCATCCCCTCTCTGCTGGGGGATGTCTCTCCCCACCCTCCTTTTCCCCTTTTTGGGGTTTATTTTTCATCAGGGTTTTCCCTCCCGTGGGGTTGCGGTGGACAAACCACCTGGCTCGGGGTGAAGTCCCAAACCTGTAAAGGGCTCCCGGTCCGCACCCCCACGTGTGCGCTGGGTGTCTCCTCGTCCCCAGCCCCTCAAATTAAAAAAGCTGCCGGATCCGCCTTCTGTAACACTGCCCTGACGAGCCCCGCTCGTTAACGAGCAATCCTAGAAAGCCACGCGGTCCTGCCGGCGCGGTGCCGTGCTCCGCTGGGATTGCTCCGAGCATTTATTTTGCAGGCCAAGGAGTCGTGGGAGATGGACACCAAAGAGAAGCTGGAGCAGGCTGCCGTCGTCAAGGAGAAGGGCACGATGTACTTCAAGGTTTGTAAACTTGGGGATGGCGGAGCAAGGGAGCTGGGAGTAAATTCGGGGTGACCGTCGGATACACGACTTGGCAGTCGTGAGTGTGGGAGAAGCCGTGTCCCCCCCAAACAGCGCTGGGGAAGGCGAGTCCTGCCCTTCCTCTGCCTTTTTTCTCACTCCCTGGGATACCTCCTCCCTTCCCGGCATTGCCTTGCCCACGGGCGCTCCCTGCGGAGCGGGACGGCAGATCGGACTCTTCCAGGGGGGTGGATGTGGCCAGGGCTAATTCCGAGGGGCTTTGCAAGTTCCCCTTCCCGGGCTGGAGCATCCCGATGCTCCGCTGCTCTGCCCAGAGGAGGAACGCAACCTCTGACTTGGCTTTTCACGGGGGCTGCACGCCAGCAGCTCCAGCCAAGCCCCGGTGTGGTTGTCGGCATTCAGCATCCTCCTTAATTCGTTTATTTTATTTAACACGCCGCGTTAAACTCCTAACCTGTTTGCAGGATGTTTCGGGAGCAGACCGAGCGTTGTCGGCGCGGGTTCCTCTAGCCTCTTCTTCTTTGCTCCATCCCAGGAAGGCAAATACCTGCAGGCGGTGATTCAGTATGGGAAGATCGTGTCCTGGCTGGAAATGGAGTACGGTTTGTCTGAGAAAGAGTCGAAAGCCTCCGACTCCTTCCTCCTGGCTGCCTTCCTCAACCTGGCCATGTGCTACCTGAAGCTGCGAGAGTACGCCAAAGCCGTCGAGTGCTGCGATAAGGTAGAGGTGCACGAGCCCAGGGGTTGGAGCATCCTCTCCTCTTGCACGTTTTCACTGGGAGTTTGGGGGCTTTTTCGAATTTCTTTTTGTATAAGAAGCATTTTTCAAGCGGCAGTGGGATGGTGGCATCCCTTCTGCGCCTCGGGGTCTCCGCGGATGCTGCGTGCTCAGAGATGGCAGGAGCGAAAGTGCTTTTTGGAGTTCAAAATCCACCTGGGCTTGCGCTTACAACAGCTTTTCTTCCAAAACCAGATCCATGTGAATGGATGCTGCCTGGACCGACAGCCTTAGGATGCTGTTTGGGTCTGCCCGGGCTGGATCTGGGCGTTGGGTGCTGATCTGGGTATGACGGAGGCAATCTCTGCCAGAGCTGCAGCGGATCTCCGAGTCCGTTGAAGGGTGGGATGGGGCTTTGCCAGTCCCTAAAAGAGCTGCAACTTTGTCTTTGTCAGGAAACTGTTAATTCTTTTCGAAAAGGCTTAAATTTAAGCATCTTGCATATGGGAAAGATAGTAAAGCTAGTTGCTTTAATCTAAAAGGTAAATCATCTCTGAGATGCATATGTGGCTTTTCCTAAGGAAAATAACGTCTTTGCTAAAGCAGGGAGACAAAACCATGTTTAATCCATCAGCTCCGTTGCCTCCGAGCTCTCTGTGCTCCTCTGGGCTCAGGTTTAAGCATTTACACCTGATTTTTTTTGTCTGTGGGTTTGTCTCCCACCAAATCTGCCACTTTCAGGGGGATTTTAAGCAAAGAGAAATAACTAAACTGTATTAATGACCTGCCAACTGCTGATGGAGACGAGTCAATTTTTGTTGAGCAAGATGCAAGTGCTCTGGAGGCTTGAAGCCACCTTGTCCTAATTTCAGCAGATTTAATGAGGCTTTGACCATAAGGGGGTCTTTGGGGGATCCCCAAGTTGCTGAGAGGGACCTGTGTGTTTTCCAGGCGCTAGGACTGGACCAGGACAACGAGAAGGGCTTGTACCGGAGGGGAGAAGCCAGGTTATTGATGAACGAGTTCGAGCTGGCAAAATGTGACTTCCAAAAAGTGCTGGAAGTGAATCCACAAAACAAAGCAGCGAAATCCCAGATCTCCGTCTGCCAGAAGAAAACGAAGGAGCACAACGAGCGGGACCGGAGGATCTACGCCAACATGTTCGCAAAGTTTGCGGAGAGGGACGCAAAGGTGCGTGTTGCCCGTTTTTGGCCGTCGAGCAGGCTGCGCTGAAGGATGCTCGGCAGGTTTGTGGTGAGAAGAGACGGGTCAAAACCAATTAAATTGTAGATCAGGTTGAGGATGGAAGGATAGAGCCTGCTGCAATGGGAAGAAGTGGTTTATTTCTTGGTCTCTCTAACGCAGAGACTGCCGTCAGATGCTCAGTCATCAGTAAAAGTATTGGCGGTGCGAGCTCCCGAGGGCTGATAACAGGCTTGGAATTTGTCCTTAATTTTGCTGTTCCCAGCAAGTGACTGGTGGTGACCTCCTGGTCGCCGCTAAAATGAAATGTCATCCCGTCTCTGGCAAGGCCAAGGGTATTTTGAGACATGATAGTATGGATTTCCTGAACCTGGTAAGGCAATAGCCTGCTCCTCTGCTCGGACGGAGAGATCGCTGTCTCGTAACAGGCTCTCATCCAAAATTCCTCCGAACAAAACCCGGTGTACTGTAACGAGAGAGGACACAGCTTTGCAAACTGTCTGCGGGGGTCATTTTTAATATAATCTCTTCTGAACCGGTGCCTGGAGGTTAAGGCTGTGGAATAAATGGCCGGTGCAGCCCCGGGGGAGCAGCGTGCCGGGGTAACCGGCTCGGGGCGGGGAGCGGAGCC